ATGCCTTACCCGTTATATATACACGTAAGATACATAAAAAATAACTATTTTTCATCTAAATGTAAATCCGGCAGAAATCTCCAAAAGAACAACCTCGTGACCTGTCTAGAAAAGACTGGAGAGAAAAGATTAACAACCAGCGTGAATTTTAGAAAAATGTTACACGAGTTATGCGGTTTCGATTGGTCTTTATTTGCTTTAATATTTAATGTAAATTTTAAAGAAATAAACTGGCATGGATGAGAAGAAGTTAGGAGTTGTTTTGTATTTGTGTGTGAAGATATTTGCTATATTTAAAGAACATATGAATCATCACAGCAATAAAGTTTGAGCATTAGAAAACTCGACCAAGTTTTCAATACAGTTTACATAAAAACTCATGAAACCAGATATGAACTTAATTTGACGAAAGCAAAATAGTATTTTATTTCCGAAAAAGATGTTTTGTTAATATTCACAAACTTTTATTGTTGGTGCTGTCATATTTTTTTCAAATTCATTATAATTCGAGAGTGTGTCCACAATTGTAAAAAATAAACAAATAAATCAATAGACTTTTTAAAGCATAATCACTATAATTAAAAAGCATATTATTATACTTGTCGTTCTTTTTTTCTTAGCGCAAAGTACACAATGGGCTATCTGCACTCTGTCTACAGCGAGGATTCAAACCATAAATGTTAGCGGCATGAGTCCGCAAAGTAACCGTTGGCCAACAGGAGACAATTATTGTACTCTTTATGGTGTTATATAAAAACCCAGTTTTGAAAATAATGATAGCAAAGTTACCATTGGCCAATAGGAGTAAATTATTGTACTCTTTATGGTGTTATATAAAAACCCAGTTTTGAAAATAATTATGCCACAAAATGTTCTCAAACGGAGAAAATACTTGAAAAATTATAACTTTCAACTAAGATTTTGGCTTTTTTCTGTTGTTTTGTATTCGTGATTTTATTTTGTAGTAGGATTACCATATTATATCCTTATGTCAGTAAATAAATGTATATCAGAATACATTCAGGACTATACATATAAATTGTTACAATCTGTTGACCAGTGTTCATAAATGTTACTTAAAATGATAAATCTAATTTGTGTTATTTCAAATATAATTTTACTCCTTGTTGTTTATGGGAAGGTTGTTTTGAATTATGCAGTTTTCATTAAGATTATACACTCGTAATTTTCATGTTTCCATCACCGTATAATGCAACTCTTTTTTTTTTACAAATATGGTTTAAAAACTGTAAAAAGAAGATAAGTTTCGGTTTTGAAAATAGAATCGATTTCCTTTTAAATACTTAAATTTGCTGAAATATAAAGTGAATGTTGGAGAAAGAACAAATTCTGACAACACAAAATAGGTCTCAAGATAATTTTCTGCCATGTTGTTGCTAACGGGCAGTGCCACAGTAATAAAATGCTTGAAATAATTACCTTTAGAATTTTACGAATTACCTGGTTATTCACAAGAAATTTGCCTTAAAAAATCCAGACGATAAATCAAGAAAGTTTTATATATTTATGTACACGCTCTAAGAGATTTAGTACCGGTCGAAACACGTGCACTTCTTCCTTCAATTGTGGAGTCTATTGCAGTACGTTTGTCCGTGCGAATCCTGGTAACGTTGTGCCGTCCCTATTTCCAAACAACTGACCACCGGGAGGCATCTGGCCAGCATCAACATTTTAGTTAATACTTTATTATTGTGAATCACTTTTTAAATATAACGTAATTTGGTTAAGACTACTTCCTTAGGTGTTATCAAGGGCGCCATTTTCACATTTCTGTGGTGAAAATTAGGAATGAATATAAACATTGTTCTGGATATTGAATATGAAAGTTGGCATGTCTTTGTGAAGTTTTATTCTAACACTGTTCAACATACAAGAGAGTTTTGAAGCTTCTGGCTGTTACGTCCCTACTATAACTCCGCCTTCATGATTTATACGCGAGCTGAACAGATAACGGCAAAATTCTACAGACTAACAGATGCACAGCCACTCGGTATTTTCCTGATCTTATATTCATACATTCTGTATTCCTATGCAAGTTCGAAAGCCAAAGAGAGTTATTGCGATTTTGATTATCTTATGTGCTTCAAGAAAAAAAGAACCATAGAGGTTCTCCCTTTCTATAACTAAAATACTTGGAGGGTATACAAGCATAAAGCATTCCAAACAAATATAGCTGTGAAATCCATTTTTCTCCGTAAAGGTTGAGTTATTGACCACCAAAGGGTTGACATCTAAACCATTATTTACAAAATTTGCTCGAAAGCTGCATAGAAATATAGGTATATATAACAGCACCAGCTGATATTCTTCTGTTTAAGAATCTTGGTAAGGATAGTATGGTGAATACCTCAACAAAACATATTTCATCGTGCAGTGTTTTTTCAATCAATCTATTTTCTCCTTTTTCGAAATTCTAAAAAAAAAAAGAAAAAAGAATACCTTCTACACTTGGCACTTACTGCTAATGTGCTACTGATTAAAATAGAAACTTGTTGAGGCATTAGTATAATGTGAATGCTATAAGATATAACTTGAGCAACTTTCATAGGCATATGTAAGACATAGAAAATGAAATACCACTAAGTCTTCGGTTTCTTGTAATATCAAACATTTTAAAAGACAAGTGCAATTTATAATAACTTGAATTTATAATACTTTACCTATTGCATTATATAAAAGTTCATTGAACCACAAATATTAATATTTGTGGAAGTCAAGAGATGCTCTTTATATCTACAAATTTATTCAGTATTTCGTCATGTTTGATCCTGTCGTGAAGGAACACCTTATAATAATTACCACTCATTAAATAATTCACAAATACACTGTGGAAAAGGATGTGCAGAATGAAATGATTTAATTTCGATCCAAATGATCCAGACTCGTGAACTGACTGCAAATAAATGCAGAATATTACTCGATTGTTCTCGACTGTACTCCAGATACAACCTACGTAGAACATGTGACACGATCATTCGGTTTGTTACAGTTACTGAGGCATTCGTGTCTGAATATTTCTTTGGAATTTTGCCTCACAGAGGGACAAGTAATGCTATTATGTCCGAGTTAGTTTTGAGTAAATAGTGCTGCCCATAAAAGAATTACGAGGCCAGCAGCATGACAGTGAAGCTGAAATAAAAAGATCCAACAATTAGAGCCTCGATTCCAAGAGCTTTGTGCCCTATGTAATGCACAAGCTGAATATCGTTTTGAACGATAATTGTTCCATTGAGGCAGTATGTTTTCTTACTTGATGCAGTCCGTTATACGTCCGCTTTCATGTTTCAATTTGCCATTAGAAAGTAGGGTTACAACATGTTTCTCTGCTAACCGTGCAGCTGTTGAAAGAAAAGTAAAACTGGTGCTCATCTTGCACTCTGGCAGAGATCTGCGACCTCTGCTCTCCATTGCAAACAACAATGCTCTCACATAAACCTTTGAAACAAAGTAACGTTCCAAAGCGAACACAATAGCTGCCAAGTTGCTAAGTTTCAGATTTACAGCTAGTCTTGTGATATGGTAGACATGTTGTATGAGATCAACCACGCTGCAGGTTTGATCTCAAGGAACTCTGAAACTATATCGAAAGGATATGGATGTAGCCATCAATCATTTAGAAATAACAGCTCAAGCCAGGAAAAAAAAAAGATTTGAATTCAAATATATTTTATTAAGACTGAAACACAAAGATTAAATGTATGTGAACCCACAAAAATAAATTGTAGAAAAGGTCAAAGTCCTATTAATAGCATGGGCAATAGTTAAATTCATGAAGGCTTGACATAAATGCAAACTTATTTTAAAGGAGTCAATGTAGAAACTAAAATTATCGAAAGTAAACTTTTTATTTTACAAGAGTGGTCATGCTTATCCACTGCCGATGAAAAATGGTATGAAAGTAGACTTTTTATTTAACAAGAGTGGTTATGCTTACCTGCTAACGATGAAACATGGTATGAAAGTAGACTTTTTACTTTACAAGAGTGGTCATACTTACCCACTACCAATGAAAAATGGTATGAAAGTAGACTTTTTATTTTACAAGAGTGGTTATGCTTACCCACTAACGATGAAACATGGTATGAAAGTATACTTTTTATTTTACAAGAGTGGTCATACTTACCCACTACCAATGAAAAATGGTGTGAAAGTAGACTTTTTATTTTACAAGAGAGGTCATGCTTACCCACTAACGATGAAAAATGGTATGAAAGTAGAATTTTTCTAGGGTTTTGTTGTCTTTGGCGTTAATCTACTAGCATTATCTTATCTTTAATTTATTTTACATAATCGAAGTAGCATTATGTGACTGTAAAATAGTTGACTTGTAACGCCTGTAACATTGAGCTACAATCAGTTCATTTACAATGAGTCGGGCTATCGTACTCGGACTGTGAAACCAACGGTTCAATGTTCGCGTCCCGTTATTACAAGAAACCTCGCTCAGCACTCTGAGGCCTTGGGTGCTCTATGAAAGTGACTGCGACTGTCACATTATTCGATCACCTAAGAGCTGGAGGTGGGTGCTGTTGACTAGCTGTGCTCACCTTCAGTCTATCAGTTAAAAAATCAGGGGATGCTATTGTAGATACCGTTTGTTTAGCTTTGTGTGGAATATTAAACAAAATATTATTCTAAGATTACTGAATTTTAAAGGTATTTCAGTTGTAATAGTTTTAAAGTTTTGGGAAAAATATCTCTGATTTTGATGTGATAAAAAATATTACCAAATATATTAACAACACACACGTCCTTCACAGATAGATAAATAAATCACTGTTATCAGAATGTCAAAGCACACATTGGGCTTGGTCAGCATCGATTGCCACACCACACACATAAGTAGATTTTGAATTGCTAAATCGTTTGTTTACACAAATTTTCGAATGAAAGTCTGTTTAAGATGTAATTGTAGGACGTGGTTTTGATATATCTCACTTGTCAGCATGTGTGTTAAATGAAGTATCTTGTTTGTGTAGGATTGCCAGCGATCGTGGTACTCATCTGGGCTCTCGTTAAAGCCTACTTTTCGCCGTTATCAAGTGACACGTTTTTGCTGTTGAAGTAAGTGCTGCATTTAAATTGTTTTATCGTGAATTTTATACGAGTTAGTGTTACTGTTTTTTTTATAATGTTTTTAAGCCTACAATAAAACGACAATTCGCTTTGGATATGCACAAAGTAAGTAAAGTTTCTTACGTTTGCTTATCAATGTTTATTCAAATATAATTTTTTTTATAGCCGCGACCTTCATCTTTGTATGTTTCTATGTGATGAAGGACATTATGAGTTTTTGAAGACTTTTAGTCATCCTCTTTTTGACGTCAGTTGAATCAGTCGATTTCCCCTAACTTCTTCTTGTACAATGATTAACTAAATCGCCAGTAGTCTACTTTAAATAGCCTTTGATCAGGGGTGAAATTCTGCTGGTACTCAACGGCACCGAGTACCGAAACTTATTTTTAAGGCTGTACTAGTACCGGAACTTATTTGAGCTGCTTTGTCGTTTTTCTTTTAGTTTTACACGTAGATTTTTTTCTTTTTCAAAAACAGGTCCACTTCACCCAGCTGAGTACCTCAACTTTTTTTTTTTTGCGAATTTCACCCCTGCCTTGGACATAATGTGCCTTTAGGAAAGTAGCAGAACAGTATTTTTAAACTGCTTCTAGATATATGTTAAGAAAGCAGAGAACTCCAAATATTCATAATGTTTCGAAATAGCAATGTTTGAAAATAATAACAACTTCCAATCAAAGCAAACTATGTGCTTAGAGCGAAACTACAAATCCACCCGGCCGTAAGTATAGAGAATTAAATATAATTTTCTTACATTTCTATTTATAAAGATTAGAATGCATTGTTTCATTAATTGGGTACCCTCGCTTTTAACGATATCTTCGACCGTAATCCCAATAAGTACTGCAACTTGTTCAACTTGGGGCATGATGGCGGGTAAAACGAAATAATACGCGGTCTAGCTGACTAATGAATGAATATTTGCTGTAAAATTATTATCTATGCTATGAGTCTATCTAACAGTTTGGTCGGCAATTTTAATTTCATTCCTATAAGTGGCACGCTCAATCCGTTCTTGGCCACACCTTTTTTTCTCTACACCAAACGTGTTTTTGATTAGATATCGTGACATTTTATCAATACATACCAACAAACCACACCAAGTAAGAAAGTGACATTCGATAGTGTTACGTATTACAATTTCGAATAGCCTGAAATTGAATTAAATTATATTTTAAATTTAGTAGTTAAATAAATGTCGATATGTATCCAGTTTATGATATTTTCCAACAAGATTGATACACACAGTTTTCTTTTTTAATACAATTATGTTTTAATATATAAACAATAGCAATTTGAATAACGGGTATTACAAACAATGATATATATACAAAAGTTTTACAAACTTACAAGCAATATAAAGTTTTCTTTCTAGTCTGGAACTTTCTTGATGTCTTATCGAGAGTTCACGATGAGCGAGTTAATTTTGAGTTGATGTAGGTAAATTCACTTAATAGTGAGCTAGCTAGTTTTGTGGCCTTCACTGATAACACACCGATTTTTCCTACCGGTGACGTTAGGTAATGCTTTCGTAAAATTATTAATGTCCGATATGAATCCACTGAAGTTAAATGATTTGTAATGTTCGAAATTTATAAATGTTCCTGGTCAAATATCTGGTGCCCCCCTTAATAAGCGTTATAACAATCACAGTTATAGCTTTCGAAGTGTATAGCAAACCAATAATAGATACTGTTGTTAGGTGCTTAGTGTTGGTTATATTTATAGGCATGTGGTGAGTTTCCCGAGCCTTCAGGTTACGTATCAGTACAAAGCTACACTAGCGTTTACGTACACACACATATTGTTGATTCTTACACTCGAGAATCTTCTACAACTTTAGAGAATAGGCGGGAATTTCGCAATACAGATTTAACAGTGTAAGTTATGTACATTTCTAAATATAAATTTAATTTAAAGAAACATCGATACTAGAATAAATATATAATAATAAATGCGTCACAATAGTAAACAGTATTAGCTTAAGGATTGCAACCCTATTATTCGGAACAGACCTATACTTTAGAGAACCAACCTAATTCTTTAAAACACATGGTTGTAGTTTTTACTCTCTAAAACAGTGTTAACAACTTCTTTTATAGTAA